CAAAACGGCCCTTTGATTTGTTTACAATTGCCACTATAATGGATGAACTTCTGGAAAAAGTATCTTCTTTATATAAAATACAGACATAGACTTAGGATCCGTAATACAGAACTTGAATTCAGAGATATCTAACCCACCGTCGGCAATCTGCATTTTTAAGTACCTAGGCGAAATGTTCATCTTTGAAAATTTTCAAAGCGGGAGGGTCGAGCTATCTGGATTCCCCACCTAGAAAACTCAATCGTCAATTGCACATTAAAGTGAAAACTTCAAGAAGTATACCAGAATTTTTTTATTCTAAGAATTCTCAGAATTCAAAAATTAAACACGGGCTTGAAAGAACCACGTTGTCAGTCGCGTTAGTAAAAATGTACCTTGCCGGCGGTGGGTTAACATTCTTTGCATGTGAGAATTGTTAGCGTGGATCGATCGCTTCGATCGCTCGAAAAATAACCTAACCAAGACAAGCGATACTTACTAAGAAATTTAAAAAATGGTACCTTCTAGATATTAAAGACAGTGCCGCTCCTACGTTATCGACTGCTCGACCGGAGATAACAGGCGACGCGTCGGGATGAGCGAAATTACCTCAGCGAAGATACATATATTAGAGACGTCTGTATATGTTGGTTTCAATATGTAACACTAGAATTTTTTTTATATATCTTGGGCCTGGTAATTTCCCAAAACTAATATGTTATATTAGGGATTCTCTGTCAGCCTCCAAATTTCGTCTTGATCAACGGCAGGTCACTATTGGAAGTAGGGCCTCATTTTATTAAAATTTTGGTTTCTATATATCTATATTCAACAAAGAGTCCTGACCCGTCAATTAATTAAATAAATACATAGATACATTCAGCAAAGGGAGAACATAACCTTGAATGACCATGGGAAGTTAACAAATAGTAAAATCCGACTACGTCTTAAATGAAATACGTTACGACTGATTGTGAAAGCAAAGACTATTCACATTTTTAGAATCATCTGTAAAATAAAAATAGGAAATGTATTGAATGTATTGATGCTTGATATGGACTATGTAACCTAATCATAACAATCGAAAGATATCAGGAGATGCTAGTTTTCCTTTCAGAAATCTAAGGTCTGTCGTTGCTACGGTGTCATAACAAGTAGCACTTCGAGGATTTGTGGTCAACGATTTTGTGACATGGTATACAATGTATGTTTGGATTAAGAAGTTTATTCAATCATTTTCTATGAAATAGTCTTTATATAATTTCAACAATTTTACAATTGAAATTGTATAAATTCATTTCAACGAATTCCTCAGTATCATTGTAAACTCGTGAAACAAAATTTACAAGCTCGCTAAATTCGTGAAAGAATTGCGATATTCAGGAACGGAACTATTTTTATATTTTTGATAAGTAAAAAATGTTTTTGTCCTTGCTGTAACTATACCAACTGCGTGTACTGTTGCGGTAGAATCGTAACAGACTGGAACAGAAGGCCATAAGCTTGGGTTTTACTCTCACAGACGGAATGTTAAGCACAGCTGTTAGAAGCAACGACCATGCTCAAAATTTCTGTGGAAAAATTCGAACGAAGTGTCGGAGGAGATCTGAAAAGAGGCCGGCCCGGCCGTGTCGGCGGCGCCGGCTCTGGGATTCGAACCAGGAAACGATCAGAATACTGACTATGACGCTTTCCTCACGCGGCTACTTCGACACTTGCGAATTGTTATGTCGAATTTTCTTATTCATTTACGATTGGAATTATTCTTGTTTTTGATAATGGAAAATAACCTAATTGACCCCTTGATCCCTAATTTACAGAAAGAGTGACATATTTCATTTGGAATAAAGCAGAGCTGCACAACATCGGGCAAACCTAGTAGTTATCTGGTGTAATACCGCCTTACTTACTGCTGACCGCTCCTCGCTCACTCACTCATTCATTCATCCATTTATCATTCGCTCATTCGCTTCACTCATTCATTCGCAGGCCGCTTCTCATTCATTCGCTCACGTTTGTCATACTCCCACCTGATCGCTTCAAGTGATTTAACTGGTTACTAGGCCGCCAATCACCAATTGTAAAGTATGAGTACGGAACGAGTTTTATAAGTAGCTTTTCGATTTTATTTATTTATGACAAAAGTGAGTAGATAAAACAGATGACGGTAAAAAGATGTAAAGAACTTAAAAATACTGTTGCATTATTTTCAACTCCATAAACTGGTTAAGAAAAAAAGAAATGTCTACGTAACTCCTATATCTTGTAAGATAATTTTTATTTTATAGGATGATCCATAGTCTAGTCATAAAATTTCCATATACCGGGTGTACATGCTACTATCGCTCCGCGATTTCCTTGTAAACGGTAAATATTAGATAAAAGATAACAGGAAGGAAAAGACGTCCCATTTTTGTATAAAGAACATAATGTCCTATGGTAATTTTTTGTGTATTTACAGAATTCTTTTTTAGGAATGAGAATAACCTTCAATGTTTTCAATAGAATGCTATTGTATACATACGATTTGATGTCAAATAAAAGTGAGTCTCAAGACTAATTCATTCAGGTGCTATATACAATGACCTTCAAGGTCGTACAGGGTCAAAAATAAAAGATGTGTTTTGAACGTTTCCTGTCAATAGGTTAAATTGAATTCGATAATGATGTGATTCAGTTCTGGAGTATTTATTTCTCTTTTCGTTATTTCTGACGAGGTAATTCCGCTATTAACACTCGCGCGCGCGCGAACAGCAGTCCTTTTTGATAAAAATGTAACTTACTATGCCCAGGATCATTTATAATTTTATTTATCGATTTGGTTCAACATATTTTTTTAATGTATTGCTGTAGACACGTTAGTGTTCCCATAGACGTTTATGAAATCTGTGCAAACTTAAGTTGATTCTCAAAAACTAGTCAAGTAATAATTTTTATACTCTGGGTCCAAATGGACTCGCGATAATCGTATACAACAGGGTGATCCTCACCGATTTCAATGACATTGAAATATATTGTCAAGGCCATCATTCTGAACATCTTCTTTCTATTATACTTGTACCGTCGCACCATTCGCTTTTAGTTTTCGAGATATCGTGAAATACTGTTGCTACTAATTTCGCTTATACGTGCATGTCGTGTCAATTTGTGTGCGTAACTCAGTCACCGCCTTGTCGGATACTGCACTCCTTTTCCGTAAAAGCTACGCTAACAAAAATCTATTTTTCTACATGAAACCTGGGAAGTAAAAAACTGTTTGCGCGTTTCAATTATCTACTAAGTGGAAACTTGCACAAGAATGATAATTACCTACATTTAATCAGAATTGATTGTTTGTGATTAGATCCTAATATCTCGAAAACTAAGGTCGAGCGGTCCAAAATGGAAAAGGAAAAAGTTGTTGAGAATATCACCCTTTATAACATATGTCAGAGCCATTGAAATCAGAGACGGTGTAGGCTTTTGACAACTTCACCAATAATTCTTCATATGTACAATAAATTGTTTCCAATTGTCTCTCAGCTTGTAAAAAAACGTGGACAATTTGGGAAGTGGAGATACGATCATTTCAGTCTTGCTCCTCGTTTTTATAGTTGTTGACAATCGGCAACTATACCCAAATTGTTCATTTTTGTTTACAAACTGAAGAACAATTGGACGAAATTTACTGCACTACACTCGGATTCAGGCGTCGTTTATAATAATTTGATTTCTTTTTACAGTTATTATACGTACATACATTTTTTGGAATAAAATAAATAAAAAAAATGCCTCAAAAGTGAGAAACGTCAGGAGGAGATTTACGCAATTTATAATAAATTATAATTCTATGTATAAAATTACATACTTCAAAAATAATGTTTTCATTATTGTATCTAATGATTTTCGCGAATAATGTACTCACTGTGTTATTAAAATATATGAATTACAATCATTAATATATATCATTATCAATCAAATGTAACAAATGTCATTATAACTATTGTGTACACCTTATTCAAAAAATCTTTCCCGTATCAAATTGAAACAAATAATAATAGATAAATGAAATTATATATGAGGAGAAAATTAATAGAAAAATTGTATATGTATAGGTGCAGGGTTCTGAGAATTTCTTTGTTCGATCCTGGGTTAGAGTGAAGCAGGTCGACTCTCTGTCTCTCTCTCTCTCTCTCTCTCTCTCTCTCTCTGCCTAAAAATTGTTTATACGTTCAACAATGGTAGATACTGCCTCCAGCTATACAGGACGGGGCATTTTAAACGAGACACCTGAATAACTCACTTGTTTTTCACAATAGAAAAAAAAGTGTCAAACAAAAGTTGTTTGATTTCGAGGGGTACTTAATATGATGTCAATAATTCTTTTATAAATGAAGGCATATAAACTTGTTTCTTTAAATGGGATGATCCAATTTTTTATTCATATTCTGATAAAGCCTTTCAAGACGAATACAATAATCTACAAATGAAGGTCAGAATGTGAATAAGAAATTAGATCATTCCATTTAAAGAAACAAGTTCGACCTTTATATGTTCTCTATGTTTTCATCTGTAAATTGTTCAATATTAGTCTGAAACATTTTTTTCTATTGGCAAAAACAAGCGAGTTATTCAGGTGTCTCGTTTCAGATGCCTCACCCCGTATGTGCTCTAAATTTGGAGCTAAATTCGTGCATTAAAAGGCAAGGGAAGCCTTTTTAATATTCTTATTTTGTAACAAGGTAGATATTTAAATAATAAAAAGCACTTTTCCCTATTCAATTTAAAATGATTTGAACGACGCCTCTTTTTTCTCAGATCCTTAAATGAGAATGATCGACAATTTTTTTTGCTTCAACGAGTATGCATTCTCATTGAATCATACAAATTTATACAAGTCAAAAAATTTATTTTTACGTATTTCAATCTCACTGGGGAAGAAATGCCGTTGTAAAGCGTAGACCCGCAGTAATAGGTACATTTACCCTATACGATAAATGCATTAGCCTTTAAGAAAGAAACAATAAAGATAAATGGCTCACCTCCGCTAAAGGCGTCATTATTGTCGGACTGCAGCGTGGCACTGGTGTCGGATAAGGGTGACGGAGTTGGTGGCCTTAAGTCCGTCGGCGGTTCCAATCTCAGTAAATCATTTCCGCCATCTGCACTAGCCCCGTTTCCTTTCCCGACCTGTACAATGGTCACATTCAGAGGTCCCCGATTACCTGCCGTAAAACAGAGAAACAGCAATGAGAACCGTGACAGCGACAATACATCGACGAAAGTCACCGCCACTGATCCCGCTAATTCGCGGACACCCTCCAGATCAGGCAGAGTGAAAAATCACTCGATAAAAACGAGTTTTCCAATCTTTCGGAAACTGGCGACGTAAAACGGTAGCTTCCCGGCGAAGGTTCAATATTTGACACGTTGAAAAATATAGTAAAATTAAACCTTCGCGGGCGAGGATTTTTCAAAATCCAAAGGATATTCGATAGGGATTTACAATAAGGAAGCAGTGTGAAATAATCGTGACCTCGAGATACGTAGTCAAGGTCACGTTCAAGATGTCCAATGACGTTCGGGATACTTTAGCCGTCTCCTATTTAACATTAAAAAGTGATCAATAAAAGAATTTGATACCTATTTATAATAGAACGACTTATACGAATGACCTTGCCCTTATCATATGTTTCCAAGGTCACCTTCCAGAGTGACCTACAGGATGCTTTAGTACTCACTTGGTTTTGTTAAGAAATAACATTCCATTTTGCAAATATTTACAATACATTTTACACGATAAAGCTACTAATAATGAAATGTATTAATTGTACATATTCAGTGTGTAAAAAGTATTCGTACCATGAATTTCAAATTTTTGACAAATTTTCGACATTTGAACTCACATAATTTCATAAATAAAAGTCGTACCATAATCAATTTGGACTTGTATTGAAAACTTGAAGCCTCTACCTTCGAAATTCATCACTCAGTTCTTCCTGCCAACTCATAGCATGCGATAAACTGAAGAGTTTACTGGAAAATGTTACAGATTGAAATGTCCTCAGAACCATTAGAAATTCTTTTTCACGAATAAATCGTCCACGGATTTGAAGATTGAAGCTTCCTGTTTATAATAACCTCACAAAACTTGGTGTACGACTTTCTTTAGACGTTCTATAAACAGAAACGTGGAACAAGTTCGATCGTGTAGAACCTTCTTGAACCATGTGTTAATTAAAGGTGTACTGTGTGTTTAACAGTAAAAAATTGCAAAGAGGAGACTTCGATCTTAAAATCTATGTTAGGATCAGACACGATAAAAATTTACCAATTATAAGGAATACCAGAGACTCGTTAATTAGTCGTATGGAAGTTGCTGGATATCATACAGAGTATTTGTAAAAATCAAATTAAATTCATTGATCCGTTCTATTAGAGTTCTTTCCCTATTTCCATCAATTGCGGAGTGATCGTGAATTTTTTTCATTTTTTATACTCACGGGCACGCGGAAGTCATAGTATTATAGATGGCTCGACATATCTCTAAGAGAATCCAACCACTTTTTGGAAAAGGAATCGTATTGCTGTGGTTTCTCAAAATATTATTGTATTGAACAAATTACAGCAACATATATATATATAAAATATTTTACGTAAATTTAAAATATATATTTCCATTTTTAAGCAAAAAACAAAAATACTGTAAGCGGATGATCTCATCCGCATCACCGAATTAGAGCGACCACTTACAGGTGAGAGCGGCCTTAAAAAATAACAAAGACTGTAGCTTACAAAAAGTATTATAAATAAAGAAAATAAATCTTATGTTATTTTTTCCTCAGCTTCCCACATAAATCACAAAAATTCTTATATTTGGAGTATCCCTCGCGATGCAAACGACTACACCTCACACATTTAAGCCAGTCATCGATTTTTGTCGTTTTCCCCTCTGCATTTCACGCATTCATTTTGGTTTCATTCTTCTAATGACGTATCACTTTCTTGTAAAACTGAATTATCGCTACACGAGTCGAATGATTGTTCCAATTGTTTTCTACGTTTCTTTATATTCTTCCCCCTTGTAATTGAAACATTTCTATGTTTTGTTATAGTTCCCTTGTTCTTCTTTGTCTTAATGTTCTCTGAACTATTTATAATTGAAGACAAAGCAAATTCGCTTCGAAGAAAACCGAATAGAAGAAGAATAAAAATTCCATTGTAGGAGGAATAATTAATGTGGTCGACTTCTCCCAAATTAGTATGGTCGGCCTATACCAAAATTACGGGAGATCAACCGCATTTTTAATGTAAAGCAGAATTGTATAATATAGTTACGAATTACTACACTTCTCCCGCGTCGCGGCATTTTATTTACAATAGAGAACACGAACTATAATACAACTAAATTAAACTATGTTAGAGATCTTTGAATTAAATGGTGTTGATCGCTCGACGGTCCGATCCCGACTCCTCGATTGTCCGTTGATAAAACACCTCCGTGGCAACCCCTCTCTTCTATTTTTCTTTATGGAGTTGCTCACAACAGGGCAGTTTCACATTACAGCGACTTGATTTGGACAAGTCGCCGTAACAATATATATGCGTATACTATTGAGGTTATACAGTAGTTTTATGCATAATATATCCCTTAAAATTAAAATAGTGTAAATAAACTTACCTACTCGTCAATTACTGCTAAGAATATACGTATATTAATGAAAGAACGTTCAAATCCACTTAAAGCTTTAAACGCAATTTGCAAGATTAGGATACAGTATCGCAACAATTGTAATACATGATCAACAATCAATTTATTAAATTGTTTTCCAATTTCTAGCACAACGCCATATAGCGTCGTCGTTTCGAAATATTTACACTGGCCGGACTCTACCGAATTCTCCCAGATTTAACCTAAAGAAAAACTCCGACGATCTTCAAATCTGGGAAAATATGACCTTGAGAAAAATTTATATATTATTCCAGTATTTGGTTCTACGAGAAAAATTATATTTTCCTCTGATTTCGGCCATTTTGATCGAGAAGTGATTTACAGTTTGATCTCAGCCAGGAAGCCGAGGAAGCGATTTACACTTCGATCTCTGCCATGAGGCCGAGATACGATTTACAGTTTGAACTCAGCCATGAGGCCGAGGAGCGATTTATACTTTGATCTCAGCCATGGTGTCCACTAGGTATTTATACTTTGATCTCAACCATTTAAGGATCGAGTAAATTTTTGCATTCACGCTGAATGTCGTGTTTTTTAACTTTAGATAGGTGTGAGTGCTAACACTATGCATTACTAAAATTAAAATTTCTTTTAAACTAGTTGTGGGGTACTACTGCCTGCGCTCTCCGCCAGATGGATTCTCCTTTCTCACATGTAGCGGTATCCATATACATATACAAACTTCGTCCGTCCTTCCCACAGCACCGCGCCAAAGGCAGAACCCGCTAGAAAAACCTTACCGATAAGTCCTTTAGCTGGGCTTGGTCGAAACAATTCCTTTTCTTTTCCTCTATATTCCACGATCACTCTCACTCTACATGTAGATAGAGAACAACGCCTAATAACCCCCACACAATAATTTTTCGTAATAAATACCTTAGTATGTTTATGAAGAGAATGACAAGTGGATAAAATAAAGTTGACCTTCATATGTCCTCGACATGAAAAAATCTTGTTAATATCAGATTACGTGGCCCCTAAAATCATTTAAATTTCATTCGCAACATTTTTCAGTATTATCGACAGTTTCGAAGTTATTTGACTGTATCGATTTATATGGGTCACCCTATATACGATATGTACAAAGTAGTTTAACACTGAATCAACCGATCTGTAATGACGACTAGCGTGCATTGACTCATAAGAGTGAAAAAATAGAGTTCATTTGGATTTCGTAAAGTTTTAATTATCAGACTTGTTTCAATAATATAATTTGTTCAATCATTTCCCACGAAGAAGTGTCCAAAGTTCGTAGTATCGTAAAATAAAAAATCGGTCATTTTGACTGTGGTAGGTTTAGTTAAGCAATTGTTTCAGTTCATAACTCCGCTATTAATGCATTTACAAACAAATGTCAAAGGAGGAAGATAGATGCGCATGTGCAATTAACAATTGCATCACTTCTTCAGTTGGAAATGCATATTTTTTATTATACAGATCAATTTCTCTGTCTTTATTAAAGAAGATGCTCAAACGCTTCACCATTATATTATGAACGATTCGAATAACGTTTTTCTATTGTTTTCATAACTTCATTTAAATTATCTGCCGTTATTGCTTGTTGGTAGTGGAACAAAATTTCAACTAAAGCTTTTGATATTTTTTTATATAGTTTTTCAATGTTTTAGCCGATAAATTGTTCCGTTCTTCAATAGTTCTTTGACTATAATTCTCAAAAACTCAAAGTTTATAGTATTTCCATTTTATACGACAATGTGCATTTTATGCATATGAAATTGAGTTTTGTGGTTTAAATCTAAATTTTGTTAATATAAAAATTATCTTAGGCCGTGATATAACAATTTTAGTGGTGCCTCAGAGTCACCACTGGAATGCGAAGGGCTAATAGATAATATAATATAATAATATTTAATAATATTTATATTTAAAATTATATAATATAATAATTCTGTTTTTGTTTTTTATTTTCTTATTTTGTTTTATTATTTCGAGTTTATAATTATTCATGTCACCGTGATCTCATTTAATTGAAACACCCCATAGATTTGTGTATTTCTGTATTAGAAAAAATAGGAAATAGAAATACAATAAATTCTCCTTAATTTACGCTTAGATTGTACACAAAAATGAATAATTTGGGAAGAGGAGATACGTTTATTCTTATAATACGAGTATGATATAAGATATCATTTAACTGAAACACCCTATACATTTGTGTATTTCTATATTAGAAATAACAGAAAATAGAAAATAAATTCAGATTTTACACAAAAATGGACAATTTGGAAAGAGGAAGATACGATTATTCAAGCCTTGCGGTTCGTTTTCATAATTATTGACAATCGGTTACTATAAAAACGAGCCGCAAGGCTCGAATAATCCTATCTCCTCTTCCAAATTGGTCCATTTTTTTGCACAATCCGAGTGTCAGTTAGAGAGAATTTATTGTACCGAGACGTCTGAACTAAACAAATTTTGTGGATTCATAAAGTGGGAACTATTTTCTAAAATGTAGTGTACAGGTTTTCGAAAATTTTAATAATTGTAGAAATGATCGCCGTTGCGAGCCGTTCGCAAATACACTGAACGATATGGTCGAGAATCCTACGGGGCAACGGTCAAATGTCGAATATCGCGCCGAGTGTTTCACATGATGCGCCAGACGGACGGATGCGCGCGAGCAGTGTGAGATCGCAAGCACGTCGAAGTGAGACAGGTTAGGTTTCTCGTCCGTGGGGACACTCACCCATAGAACCCGCTGGATTCGTTCTGTCTCTCTCGATCAAAGCTCTCGGCGCCTGACCGTTCTTGAAATCTTGGTGCCTAGTGTGTCCAATGGTGTCAGGGATTCTGCTCGGAATCTGCTTCAAGTGGCGGAGAGGAGACTTCACAAACGGGATTGGACGATTCTAATGGATTGCCGATGGAAATCCATTGGCATCATCCAATCCCATTTGTGATGGGTAATTCTCCCACTCCTCTACTTTCCTGGAAGAAAGTCGTAAAACGGTCAGGCATTTGAGAGCTTTGATCCCGATCATCTCTCGTTCTATTTCTAAAGCAACTGCGCGGAGCTAGATGCGCGTTAAGATAACTAATGCTATCCCAAGCTTCTTGTATTTAATAGGTTAGGTTGACTCATCCATAATTAAAAAAAAATTGCCATACATTTATTTTTATATTCCTGGCGTATAAAAAAGAGAAAAATTCAATGGACACGTTTGTACCAATACATGATCAGTAAAAAGGCCAGTAAAAAAAGATCAGTAAAAATTTCACTGTTCCAGTGCTTAGCCATCATTTTTATATCCTGTCAGATCAATCACTTCAAATAATTGTAATTTCAAAACAATTATTATTTATTGTTGAAATCGTTAAGGAAATAAGAAGATCGTGCTATGTAAACAAACTATAGAAGTTAATGAAACGACAACAGATTAATGGTTTAGAGAGAAGAATAAATGGCTTGGCAACTGTTTATATAACAAAAAAAAATAATTTTTTAAATATACAGTAATATTTATTTTTCAGTTCATGTCCTCCAGGATCACAAAGTTTTCCCAGGGGCGCATACAACAAGAGGCTAATATTAAATAAAATGTAAAATCAAATATGTATCTGATTGTGTACAATGAGATAAAATATAGGTTAAAACAGATACCGTGAAATAGACCGAAAGAAAATTAATAATTAATAGATAGAAAAAAAAACTAAATAAGGCCACCCAAATATCTCCTCCAATTATGGGAGCACGAAAACTGTTTCTAATGCTATTTGAATAGTTTGAAGAAATCATTATGTTGCAAAAATATTCTTTTTCAAGGTCATTTTTTTTAAGTTTTCAAGGTTAAATATCTCCTCCATAATTGATGGAAATATTTAGATGGACCACTCTGCATATACATAAAATATATGCATAATCAACTATTACTTAATACTGCGATTTTATTCTGGGTTCTTTCTTTCTTAGATATTAACTTTTTTATTTTATTTTTAATTCTCCGTCATGCTCGCTTGCCCTGACTCCCGCACGCTGCGTTCGCCCACCTCACCCCCTGTTTCCCTCGACCTTCACGAGTGCGATCGCGAAGCAGAAAAGGGCAGCGAATTGCTTCGCTACCAGATCTTATGCATTGTCGGTCGATTCCGAGCTCGTCAGCTCGGACATTCCAGCCTTGCCCTTTTCTCTGGACGCTACGACCGTAGTCTTCTTAGTTGGAATGGAGGTCGATCTTCGGTCCGCGCGAAGCTTGGCCGGAACGCTTGCGCTCTTCTACTCCTCGTTGTAGGTCCTCTGACATCTTGAGGAGGAGTAGAAATCTTGGTGAGGCTGCTCGGCGACCCCCTAAACTTCTGCAGTGCACCCCTGGATAAAGAGGGTACACGGGGCGCGTTGGGGGTCACTCTGCATTCTGGTCGAAAGGACGATGGTATGTCCTTGATGCCGGTCTTCTTAGAGCAAGGAGCGAGCAGGGAACTGGTCCCTGGTGTAGCCAGGGTTATATTAAGTAGCCAGAGTAGTCCCAGAGTTACGCCGTGGCAGGCTCATCCTCGCTGCAATAGTTGTCGTGGTGGTGATAGCAGGTGAGGTAGCCATCCTCGTCGACGCTATTCTCGCTAGCATTAACATCGACGTCAGCGTCCTCGTCCTCGGCTCCTTTGTTGCTGTTGACTTTTTCGTATTCGCCCGGGATGCGGTGGGTTTCCTCGCCATCGCCACCCTTACCCTGGTAATCAATATAGAGGTGGCGCACAGTGGGTCGAACCGAAGATTCTAGTGACTTTTCGACAAAAATCTAATTTTCTGCTTGTTAAATGCTTGTTAAATATCCATTATCCTAGAAAATGAAAATATTAATAAAAGCGATCACAGACAATTTACATTACATTTGACACCAAAAATATATGCTTCGTTTCCTTGCAATGTCCCGACGACTCTGATTAATATTTTTCCTTTGCTTTTTTTCTACATTAACAGAGACAATATCTTTTGTTAAGAAACAGTAGTTTAAACTAACAATATTGTATTCTATATATAAAAAATATAATGCCTAATAAAATACAAAAAATGTGAAGATTCTTTACATTTTACAAGGAATATCTCTTAGTGTTTAAAACGGCATTACAAAACGCTTCTTTATCTATAAATCAATATATATCTAACCTACAAAAATAAAGAAATTATGATCAATGATATGAAATACTCAGAACTTTTCTTCTTCAAATTGAATAATACGTATTGTGTGCGATGGCGTACGCATCATAGATAATTCTTAAAACAATAATAAACTCTTTGAAGGAGCTGTTTAGGATAGGATACGTTTATACTACAATACTAATCCAGTCTTAGGTCTTCTGCTTTCGATCCCGCATTCAGTGGAAACACTGCAATCAAAGAGTTCAGAGACTGCATAGCGCGACATTTCAAGGCAATTTTTATATACTATTTAAAACTTTAAATTCTATATTTTCTTTTGTTCCATTCATTTTAAGTCTTATTTTATATTTATTATATTGAGTGTGTATTATATAGAATGATTCGTTAAAGCTGTTACAAAGTAATATGTATCTCCGTTATCGTTAACGATACTCAAAAATGCTAAAGAAATAGATTGGATGGTTCGAAGGGACACCAGTTGCAGTGGAAATAATTTCTTTTTGAAGATCATATTTTTCGGGATTAAACCATACACCTGGTATAAATGAAGATATTTTTCATAGATTATTATTAATATAAAATCCACATATACCAAGTCTCAGAATAAAATCATGTTCTAAACATAATTATACCACTGGATCCTGATGCTGCAATTACGATACGTAAATAGAACACCTAGTGTTATCATTGTAAGCCTACTTATCAAGCCTATATCAACCTGTTACTTAACAATAAAAGGGCAATACCCATTCATAAAAATGTTAAGATTACTTTCACTTTGCAGAATAATAAAATCGTAAATGNTCATACACCTGGTATAAATGAAGATATTTTTCATAGATTATTATAACATTCGATGCACGTACATCAAGCCTTAGAATAAAATCATGTTCTAAAAATAAATAGAACACCTAATGTTATCATTGTAAGCGTACTTATCAAGCCTATGTCAACCTATACCTACTTAACAGTAGAAGGGTAATGAAAACCTATTCATGAAAATGTTAAGATTACTTTCACTTTGCAGAATAATAAAATCGTAAATGTCGCCAGAAGTCCTACATATAATATTATTCGGCACACTCATTTCTGCGTGCCTAATCTGCAAAACTACCTGTTTCTCCAAATTGCGATCTAAATTATCTGAAGAACTATAAACTAAGGTGTGAAAAAGAAGTATTTTCAAAATTTTTTTGAACAATTAAGTTTAAAATATTTTAAAAAAATTAAATAAATATAAATCGTACTACATAATATATCGTTAAAAAAGTGTGATTTTTTTAAAATTATATAAAGAAGAAGTCACTAAAATATTCCTTTGTGTGACAGGGCTTGTCGTAGCATTCCGGACATCGGAACTCCTCCGAGAAACGAAATTCTATTATAATTTCTATCTCGCCGGAATCCGCGAAGAAAACAGAAAAAGCAAATNGGTGTGATTTTTTAAAAATTATATAGTTCAAACTGCATCTCGATATCTTTTACATTTCAGAAGTTATACGAAGAAGTCACTAAAATTTTCCTTTGTGTGACAGGGCTTGTCGTAGCATTCCGGACATCGAAACTCCTCCGAGAAACGAAATTCTATTATAATTTCTATCTCGCCGGAATCCGCGAAGAAAACAGAAAAAGCAAATGGCCGAAAGAAGAAAAATGAAAATTGAAAAGATAGAACAGAATCGAAGAATAGAAGTTATGATTCCGTCGACAAACAGAATTGAGAGAGAGAGAGAGAGAGAGAGAGAGAGAGAGAGATGGATGAAAAGAGGTTAGAAAGAGACAGACTGATTGCATAGTGAGGAAGAGAAAAAGTTTTCTGCACAATTATCTACGTTCAAGCGACCACCGCGGGAGGGCTACACAGGTATCGGTCCGTACTCTGGATTGTTCATCGAAATCGAGCGAGTTCAGATCCGTCTGGTTATTTTCCTATGTTTATTTTTTTCTGATTCATATTCCGATAGATCGCGTTGCCTGAAAGACCGAATTAGTTTCATCGAATGATCGATTAAACAATTCGAAAGTGATCAAGAAGAACAATTCGAAAGTATCTTCCCGCGAGAGATCGCAGTTGCACATTAACAAGCAAATCTGTTTGAAAGTGCAAATTCGAGAAACGCACTATTTTCAGCACGTGACTTCTTTAGTAAACAATAATTTTATCTTTCGACAATGCAGATTAATAAACTAACGAACTAGGAAATTTTCAGTTTGACATGTATTTTAGTTAATTTGACTGAAAAAACGAAAACAAATTTTTAATCCGAACACTGCTAACAGTAGTGAGAGGAGGGTCAGTACATCAGTGAAGAAGATCAAGGAGACATTATTGTGCCGCAAGATATAGTAATTTCTCCCTAATTCGCGCTCAGATTGTGCATAATCATAGACAATTCGGGAAAAGAAGATAAGATTTTATAGTTGTTGACAATCGGTTACTACAAAAACGAACCGCGAAGCTCGAATAATCGTATCTGTCCTTCCCAAATTGTCCATTTTTGTGCGCAATTTCAGCGCGAATTAGGGAGAAATTGCTGTATAAGTTTTCTTACAGTTTTTGCAACAATTTCAACACTTGAACTTCATACACGTGGATCTGAATTTAAAATTGTTGTGCTTTGTGAAAAATATGCCAACTGCTGCACGCAAGAAGCAGCACATGAGGGTAGAATATTTCACCGATAACAACAAATAAATGTTTTGGAAGAAGAAGATGACCAGTAGAATTTTTTGCGAAGAATTTTTTGTTGTTGCGTATTTTCATTTTTATAGCTTAAAAACTATGTTTTCAATGTTTTCAAATAACTGTGGACCGAGTAAAGCTGACCCCCGCAAAGTATGTTGTTTTGGAAAGTCCTCAAAAAAATGGTCATAATTTACACATTTCTGCATAAACAAACATTGGCTGAAAAATATCTTAAAAATTTTGAGAAAAAAGATTCTCAAATGATCATTTTTTTTAACTCCCAACGGAAAACTCCCAACGGAACCATATAAATATAAATTAAAATAGATATCGTGAAATAGACTAAAATAAAATGTAATCAACTACTATGGTGATGAATGATAAAAGTAGATGGATAGTAATAATAGTTAATGGATAGAAAAAAAAAATCTAATCTAGTATAAAAATATATACATAAAATATATAATCAACTACAACTTAACACTAACATTTTATTTAATGTTCTTTTTTTATTTCATTATTAATTCTTCTCTTCTCTTCTATTGTAGCCTGCTTAGTTTTTTCTCTTCTTCTTTTTGAATTTTGAATAGTTCTTGTTGCTTTTCCTTTTCTGCAATTTCGTTTTGCTTTCGCTCTTTCTTCTACTATCGTGTCAACTTTTCTTGCTGTCACTAGTTTGATATTGTGACAGTTAATAAAACCTTTCCTTTTTTCTGTTTTTTATTCAAATCTGGATAAGTTTATACCTTGTCAAACGGTGATTATAGTTTCATTTGATCTGTCTCTTAACATTTGTCTGTCAACCTTGACCATATTTGTTACTGAGCTTATATTTAAATTCTTTTTCTTATCTAAGTCTTCTTAATACTGTAAGGATTTTCTGGTTTCATGAATTAATTATGAAAAAGTACTCCAAACTTGTTGCTTGCCTATGAATCTCGACTCTTTATTTCGCTTACACACACACACGCACGCATGCACGCACTCACTCCCTCTCCCTCTCTCTCTCTCTCTCTCTCTCTCTCTCTCTCTCTCTCGTACGCGCGTGGATGCCCAAGAATTGTAACCGTTCTCTCTCTCCTCCACGCACACGCATTTGTACCTTCTGCCCTTCTGCCCTAAAACATTGATTTCTTTTTGTTCTTACTTCTTTGCGTAATTTGAAATTGTCTGTAATATAAATATGCTCCCCTATATGTAATTATAACACATCTAGTACTGTTTTCTAAAATACTTGTATTCAACATTTTCAGATAAATTGTCTATACTTTTAATAACAGTTGACTTTTTGACAATCTCAGATATAATTTCAGTCATATTTTCCATACTTCCAATAACAATTGACAGGTATTATTATTGCATATATTACTTCAAGCAAAATTAAAATGTAGTTATGCAGTACTTTGTGCAATGGAAAACTCGTAAAATTAATTAAATGGATATACATACTTCTTTAAATATTACATCACAATCTCATTTGTATTTTATCTATTGGTTTTAACTTGCAAATGCAAACACTTTAAAATATTCACAAAAATATTCCTGTACAAAACCCTGAGCATATTTATGTCGTGGCTTGCCTTATAGTAAATTATCCCTAATTGACGTTCAGCTTGGAAACAAAAATGGACAATTTGGGAAGAGAAGATACTCTTATATAGTAAAACCGATTGTCAACAACTATAAAAACAAGTCACAAGGTCGAATAATCGTATCTCCTCTTTCCAAATTGTCCACTTTTGTTTACAAACAGAGAGACAAATTTGACAATTTACTGTATATATACAGTAACGTATTTTTTTATATAAAATATAGTCTAAATGCGCAATATTTGCTAAAATTCGTCGAGATTTTAAGCAACTTTTTAAGTGTCTTAAACGTAATACCAGTTTTTAGGGCAAGAATTTTAAGGATTATATAATACAATATGTACTTTACAATGTACACGTGTTTTTTGCCTACTATCATTTCTAACTACCATCTTTAACATAACATAGACGTGTATTCCATTATTCAACTCAAGAAACCTAATCAATTAATTTTGAAATAAACTAATGGGCCATTCCTAGCGGCACTGCAATGCCAGGCCGACCCGTGACAGAGGGGGAGCGAGCCCCGACCACTCCGTCGGTTTCCAAAAATCAGGTTAATATTCTGACTCCTCGATGAGGAGTGTATCAGATATTAAGCTGATAAGAACAGATACTACACTTTGATCTTAGCCATAAGGCCGAGAAGCGATAACATACCTTCCTTTTGATGCCTTTATATCGTTTCAACCGTTCAATTTCAACAGCGAGAACGGGCGTACTCGAGATGTCCATCTAGCGGTGATGCGTGGAACCTTACTTACCCAACTCAAATGGATCAGCGTCCGATCTCCAAGGGCGATAGAGAAATGCATACAAGGCAGTCAGTAAAAGAGTGATACACGAGGGACGTAGAGTATATTATAATTTTGTTACCGAGCGTTTCGAAAGCGGTGTACGTTTATAATTGCCAAAGTTCACAATACAAACAATCATAATTAGTTCTGCTTTTGTATCGTTAATTTCCATGAAATATATTGTCAAGTATATTAAGTATATTAAGTATATAGCGTGTTCTCTAATTTTAAATAACGAATTTTAAAAAACGAGTCCGTGTTGCGAACGTCTAACATATCGGGAAAATAATATTACGAATGTTTATAATCAGTGTTACATAAAAATAAAAATGTTGGTTCTTCATGAACTTTGAAAAACTTCTGATTTAAATTCGTCTTATTAATATGAAAGTTGGATTTAAAATTAGAGAAAGCTGGAATTGTTTTTGAAAATACATTATGAGCGATCAGAATTTAATATCTGTAATATATTTAATGGAAATTAGCAAAACAAACGCGGAACTAATTATATAACACAAAATAAAATGGAAGGTACAACCATGTGATGTGACTCAGAATCAGACCTGTGCTTAAAATAAAGATAAAAAATAACTATTTGAAATCATTTATTTCAGATAGTTATTTACAGTACCGTTATGTGAAAATAAAAATAATATCGATCAAGCATTTTTATCGAGCAAGCACTTTGCTTGCAACGATAAAAACATTGGAAACAGTAGGTTTGCCGTTAAATAATTCGATGGGAATGTATATGAATTAATTAGTCATTTAAATTTATTAATTAACAATTAATCATTATAAAAATAAACCTGGTGATTGAGCAGAAAATATTATTTCAAATAATTATAATATTAAATACGATGTTATTTTAAATAATTATAATACAAAATAACAGGTTATTTGAAATAATATTTCTAATGATGTTATTTCAGAAGGGATTACAGGCATGAAAATAAAAATACGTAACTATAAAATAAATTACAATGTTACTTGCAATGATATTTTAAACAATGTCATACCGAATATTAATAATATATTATAAACGTATATATGTATATACGGCACTTTCGAAATGCTGGGTACATTTTGTAATGCTGGATAATAAAATTATAATTCACTCTTCCCCCCCCCCCCTCTCCCTCTCTTTCGTTCAATATCTATATGTATATATCTATTTCTCTATCTCCTTTTTCTTCACTCTCTCTATCTCTTAGGCTACAAGTCACTCTCTCTCTCTCTCTCTCTCTCTCTCTCTTTCTTTCAATATCTATGTATCTATTTCTCCTTTTCCTTCACTCTCTCTATCTCTTAGACTACGAGTTAATACGTCTTTAATCCTATAGAACTAATATTATTGAAAAAATACAGGAATAAAACGTGCAATAAATAAACTATTTAAAATGTATCGGTATCATTCATATCGTTAATAAATTTTCCGGAGTTACGATCATCGATCGCCACTCTGAGTTTCATGCGTCACTGCTAGGTGGACACTTCGAGTAGACCTGTTCTCGCTGTAAAAATTGAGCGGTTGCAACGATATAAGGATATTAAGAGGAATAAAAAGTTTTGGAACGACGATTAAATTCGTCGATGTAATGGCCGAGATTTCAATAATCTTGTATTTTCAAAGATTTTGTGACATATTCTATTAGATAGACATTCGAGTAACTTTTTTTTCCTTTTTCAGCAGTTCCCAAGACAGAAGGTTGCAAAAAATCTTCGTTTTTGTTAACTTTTCAATACTTGATTTCATTGAAAAAGTTAAATCGTTTTGTCAATCACATGGAATGAATAAGAAAACAATCGCATAACAGAAAAAAACAAAATTTTATCGACATTAACTGTTATTCAAATTGAGTTTAAAATGACGAACATAATTATTACTTAATTCTTTTACGTAGAAGTAATTTTTATATTTTGATTTCATCGCTAGAATAAATGCAAGATAGAAATATTATTGATTCAAATTTTCAGTGCTAATCTAAGTGAGAATGTTTTAAACTATTCTTTAGTATCTTCTTTCGTGTTTTCGATTAATCGTGCTTAATCTGGCTTCATAAACGTAATTGAAGTGAAAAATGAGGATATAATTGGAAAATACGGAAGGATATTTCTGTACAGGGTTACAATAAATTTATTTATGAGTTTATTATTTATGAGATTTCAAGTTGTAAGTATGTATAGCAGGAAAAACGATCTAACGTTGCGTACTTTTATATGAATTAGCTATTATTTATAATTAATGTTGATGGCAATATTTTATTAATTTAATAAATACAAAATTGAAACATTAACTCACAATATACATATTATTAAATTAAAAGTACATACATGTATAGTGAAGCATGCAACACATTGTTTATATCGCAATATAAATTGAAAAGATAATTAAAATAGAAAAAGATAAATGTAAAAACATACAAAACACGGACAACCTCAGTAATTGGGACCCTAGCCCTGTCGAATAAGTTGGTGAAAATCGAAGTAAACGTAAACACTCTACTACGAATAACAAATATAAACACAACGTGAGGATGTACGTTCGTAATCATAGGTAACAAAAAGTCTGACAATATCAGAAAATATTTAATAACCTTGCCGTGACGAATAAGTTGGTGAAAATCAAAGTAAACATAAACATTCCACTACGAATAACAAATGTAAATATAACGTGAGGATGTNGAATTAGCTATTATTTATAATTAATGTTGATGGCAATATTTTATTAATTTAATAAATACAAAATTGAAACATTAACGCACAATATACATATTATTAAATTAAAAGTACATACATGTATAGTGAAGCATACAACATATTGTTTATATCGCAATATAAATTGAAAAGATAATTAAAATAGAAAAAGACAAATGTAAAAACATACAAAATACGGACAACCTCAGTAATTGGGACCTTAGCCCTGTCGAATAAGTTGGTGAAAATCGAAGTAAACATAAACACTCTACTACGAATAACAAATATAAACACAACGTGAGGATGTACGTTCGTAATCATAGGTAACCAAAAGTCTGACAATATCAGAAAATATTTAATAATCTTGCCGTGACGAATAAGTTGGTGAAAATCAAAGTAAACATAAACACTCCACTACGAATAACAAATATAAATATAACGTGAGGATGTACGTTCGTAATCATAAATAACTAAAAG